CTCTTTATCTTCTTTACGGAGAAAAAGAACCCCTCACAATTTCTTCTTCTTACCAAAAAAAATTCATCAATGTCTACAGCATTTTCACCGATCCTCTGCTCTGCCACTCCTGTGAACTCCAGGAAACCCGATCCGTATCGTAAATCGGCGACGGGTACCAATTCGAACAGCTGGTGGACGCCGATCTTCGGGTGGTCTTGGGAACCAGATTACATCCAGAGCTCCAGTACCAGTTCTTCCAGGGTCGAGAACGAAACGGGAAAATCCAGATCTGAAAAGTTATTCCGAGGATGTTTCACGGCAGAGAAGGCGAAGGAGCTAAGGAAAAAGACAATTGAGACCTCGACTTTTCACGATCTTATGTATCACTCCGCGATCGCCTCCAGGCTCGCGTCCGATGTTTCTGACCGTTGATTTCCCGTGAGGCCTATCAATAATCAACCCGTCGACCAAAAATCTACGTGGAGCTGTATTTCTTTTCTTTTCGATTAGTAGGAATAAGGTTGTGTTTGGTGGTAATTAAAGACGCTTATTTTGGTGTTGCGTTGATTTGGAACCGTTGGTACGTATGCTTGATTAATGATCAATGTATTGTTAGTTAATTAATCTGGATTATTACTGTGATTACCTCTTTTGTGGTTGGATTTTATCCTGTTTGGTATGACAATATTACAAAAAAGATTCTAGCTTTTATTTTATTTTGGTTCTTAAAATTGTCAAATGTCTAATTCACTCTACAAACCAACATCAATTATTGATATGTATTAATTGAGAATGGGCGACAAATCAAAAAAAGGAATCTTGGTGTTTCAACTCAAGCCTGAAAATTATGATTAATGCTATCTAATATCGATGATGCTTCAACACCAATCTAGATCAGCTAATTTAGAAGCGAAGTCGACGTAAAATTTCATGTCTTGGTCGATGTCCATTTAAACAAGACTTATCTTCTTTACGCGAATATGGAGAAATGATGTACGAGGAGATTCGTGAATTTTTCAGAATTTTTTTCTCTAGCAAAATCTGGCAAACCCATAAAAGGAAAAGACTAGCACGCACTTCTATATTGCAAAGAGACTGATTTTGTGGTGTAGATTGCGATCGAGAAATTTTAGATAGAGAAAGGTGACTTGTAAGTTAGAAGTAGCTATAAATATTTGGCTATGTTTTCTCTATCTTGGAAGTTGAGAGTTTGCTTCGATGGAGTAGTTTAGCCTCATGCACGATGTGGATCGTTGAGTGCTAATAACATGCATAATTCGTCAATTAAAATCGTAAATTTTGACTCTCGGAATTTAACACAAGTTATAAACATAATGAAAAGGACAAATTGTGCTATATTGATCCATTTGATCGTTTGACAAAAAAAAAAGTAGAATGTAATTTTCTAAACATATGATCGGTTTAGGATAATGGGATCTTTTTCTATCAGATAGAAAGGATTGTAGCACAAAATGTACTTCTAAGTGATTGCCCATAGATCCTTTATCATTCCTACACAACTCTGTCATTTCTCCCAGAAACAGGGGCTACCTAAGATCACAATCCAAAACCTAAGCTGAATTGCGGAGAAAACCATGTGGAACATAAACAGTTTAGTACCTTATATTCTGCATATTTTATTTTTACAGCCTTGATTTTCTTGAAGATGCAACTCACTGCAACCTTTCTTCCTTAGCTTGCTTAATGCAACTTTCCTGATTTTGAATTCTAACCTGGTTTTACTGAACTCCTGTGAATTTTTACTGCATGTGATATGTTGCTTTTTTGTTAGATTTGCACACGCCGCAGAAGAAGCAAGATAATCAGTTTTTTATAATTGCTGTCCTCTGCGATTAAAATTTTAGTTTGAGACTTGTAGTGCTATTGCCTTTTGCAATTTTTCTATTCAGTGCTTGTCAACTGTGAAGCGTTTATATCTCCTCCCTCAAGCAACGAAATGAAGGGTTGGTATTAGTTAGCTGCGTCTCAATCTGAACATTTTTCATGTCAAAAAGTACTGATGTTGTCAAAGATTTCCAAACTGCTACCAAAATTTTTCACCCCACGAAAAGGGAAAAACAAAATATTTAAAGATATACTTAAGTTTGCAGGAAAAATATAAGAACTCAAGAATTTAAATGTAAGATCTTTTGTTAAATTTCAAAAATAAACCAATTTCACTGAAATATTTGTACGGTGCATGACATCGCCTTATTAATTCTTGGGGTTTCATTTTAAAAGATCAACATTTTGGGGGCAGCCTAAGACGACCAAAACAATTTATTAACTGTTTCAGAACTCTAACAATTCGCCCAATTAGTTTTGTTAATAAAATGATAATTACAATATAAAGTGTTTTTAGCATTCCATATACTGAACATCTTTTTTTTTTTTCCTTAACAACTTCACTTGGTTGCTTCTTATCATCCTTTATTGATGCTTCAGATTTGATCTGTTTACAACATTTTGTTTGATTTTAGGAAGCACCTTCTTTGAAAGTCTTTCTATGATAAAAGTATTGTGGGATGCCCCGGAGCTGGTAGCGGTAAGTTTCAGTTATCTATAATCTTTTTTTTTTAATTAATTCAGTGATCCTTAATAGTTCATTTAGCCACAGTTTATTGGGTTTTTGATCATCTCTCTCTCCTGGCAAATTTAATAGAGGATGAACACGATGTTGCTTGGTTCTGGGTAGAGAAGGGCAAGCCTCATGAATGCCCAGTATGTTCACAGTACTTTGTGGCAAGTACAGGATGCCCTTGAATGGTGACTCAAAGTTTGTCTATGACCTTTGGGATGGTAATTCTGAATGTGGATTGTGAAGAACTTTTGTATGCTTTGAATTCATTTTCGACTTTTGTTTTCATGGGCATTAATTCAAAGGCGCATATCATTCAATTTTGTAGTGGTATGGGAGCCTCATTTTCTCTATTTTGACGACATCGGGTCTTGTTAAATATTGCCTCCAGACAAGATCAAATATCCCCTTTTATCAATTTTCTTTTGTTTATATTCATTCGAAATGCCTCTGTTCTAGCACTCAAAATGCTGGTCAAGTTTTATCTGTTTGCAGTTGGAAGTCGTTGGCCAGGGTGGACCCTTGATGGGCATGGTGGCTGGCAATTTACCCTCTAGAGTAAAATCTGGGCATATGATGAGAGTTTGCAAAGTTATACTGCGGCTTTGGGACACAAAAGCTTAGTTTTTTCCGAACGGAACAGCAAGAATACCAAGCTATGGCAACAGCCGAATCTGTCAACTTTTTTTCTGAAAACGTCTCTCCAGCATACTAATACTGTGTACATTATAGTTGGAAGATTCAACTCAGCTATTGATATAGATTTTAAAATGGAGTGGACAAATTAAGGTGACATTCAAGTTCTCAATATTTCACAATGGATTCTTCAAACTTGGTGCAAGAACATCCTAAAATGTCTTAATTTGCATCGACTTACCTTGCCAAAACGCCAAAATTACAGTGATCTATTATTCCTCGCAAGAAATTAGGGCAAAGATTTTTTTATCAGGCATATATCTATTCAGTTAAAACAAACTTCCTTTTATATGGATGGAGCAAACTCTTCGAAGCATTCTTAACCAAGATCTTCGAACAAGGACCGAGTCACTGATGATCCCCTCACACCACTTGTCGATTGATGCAAATATTTAGGCACATATTTCAGTGCAAAACATAATGTTAAGAAATCTATAAATTTACGTGGCTGGCATGTTAAAGCTTACATTGTATTTCTATCTGATTCATTTAAGGAAAAAAAAGAAAAAAGAAAACAAGAAAATGGCCAGCCAAGGTCCCAACAATACTAGCAATGCTGGACAAGGCCAGGTATCATGGCTAATCTTGTGTTTTAAGTGCATTATGCCTTAAATTTGATTATATAATTTCATGTTTTCATCCTTCTATTTTTTCTAACTGTTCTTTAATCAGCTCTGTTAATTAATTACAGATGTGGAGGGATGACTTGCTAAACCAACAATCTACCACTCAAAACCAAGACCAGTCAGCTAACTTCCTGCAAGAGGTAATCTTAGATTTTTCATTTCACCAAAGAGAGTAAGATTTTATTTTTTGGGCATGTTTGGCCACTCAAAAGACGAATAGAAGAGCTTCTCATATTTTTTTGACGGTTTGAAGGGTCATACTACCCGAAAAAGACAGGAAGAAGCACTTCTTTTTGTTTTTAAGCAAATCCAAACATGTTTTATATATCATGCAATAACATAATTATATGGATTCTTTTTAAAATAATGAAGACTGGAACACAAGTTAAGAACATGGCACAAGGAGCAGCAGATATTGGAAAGGGGGCAGTGCAGGGCGCGGTGAGCATTGCCCGGGGAGCAGCACTAGGGGCAGCAAACATGGCACAAGGGGCGGCTGACGCTGTCAAGAATACTCTAGAGACAGACAATAACACCANTATAAGCCTAAATCTATTTGGGATTATTTTGTGACACCTTTAAAGCATAAGGCAGTGACTACTATTCCATTTTGGGTAGCTAACAACAAACGAACTAGAAACAAAAGGAAAGAACTGGTGACAATGAGCACCAACCCAGGTTATCTTTATTTGGAATCAGGGCCAACTGAAGGTAATTTAATGAATGAAAATATGAAAAGACACTCTTGGACCTCCATTTTTTCTTTAATGATAAGAAAAATATTCGACTTGGATCTTCAAATATAAGTTCCACCAGTTTTTCCTAACTTTCCTCGACGCTATATACTGAGAATAATAATGGTGGAACTTATAACCACTTTCCAAAAGCAAATCCCACAATTTCATCCATATCCGCCCTGCATCACCAAGCCAATTGGTCTTGGTAGTCACGACTCCACCATTACTCAGCAAATTCAAAGAAATCAGAGACAAAAACCAGTAACATGACATCAAAAGTTGATACCCCAACTTCAAGCCAAATCCAATTACATGGAATAAACTCATCTAACAAAGAAATTAACCAGGAAAAGTAACTTCAAACAATATCCAATTGAAACTCTTTCTGATTCTTGCTATGTTCATATCAGTCTAACAACATCAAATTGAAACCCCTTCTGAATTCTTGCTATTTTCATGTGAATCTAAGACCTCCCACGCTGTCAACCCTCCAAGCTCTGTAAAAAATTGTATCTTATCCACCTAATTGCCTCAAAACTGTATCTGTATGATAAAAGACCAGTTGAATATGGCAGCTGATTCCTTTTTGTAATGGTGCTGTGGTATTTTCCAAATATAGTATTATAGGTAAATTCAAAATTTTTTCTTCTATTTTAATCATACGTTTGTCAGAAAATCACCATTACAAAATACATTTTTTTTTTCAAAAAGCTAATTATAATGAAGTTCAAACAGGGGCATAATTTTCTCGCTGCCCAAATTTAACATAGCAGATAGCATTCAAAGCTCATATTCTAAATAATAATTATACAATGACACAACTTTCAAATTGAAAACATGACATCCCAAGCCCAACTGAAAACATACCGTCTAGACGACCAAAAGATGAACTAATAAACATTGGACCAATCAATTATTCACAGAATACTAGTATAA